AAATGCAGTGGTGGGCACAAGCACGTTAAAGCGCAAATCCGCTAATTGCGGACCTAAATATTACGTTTGCTCTTTAGCGGTCTTACTAAGTTTATAATTCATAAGCGGATTTGAGATTTCTAAAATTAAAATGCAGTACCGCTAATAACTAATTATCTACCTGTTATTATTATCTTGAACAGCGGAAGGTATGGCTGTCAATGAATCACTATGCACATGATCAACCCAACAGCACCCCTCCCAGATAAACACAATTATTGGGAAGGTATACGTCCTTGCTGACTGTTGCTGTCGATCACGGTTCTCATTTTACAGACATTTCCCACAATGCTTTGTGTCTGCTTACGCAGCAGCAAGGCAAGTTTAGAACTCACTGTCCCAGCAAAAACAGTTAATGTTTGTAATCCATACTTAAATTTTTGTATGTATTGATTTATTTTACTTTACAAATGAAGCTCCTTTTTTTAAAAAAAAGTTTAAACGCTGTAGCTCAATACTTGACGTAATTGGTCGAAGCAACCGGCCAACGGGGTTAGCTGAAGGGACGCAGAAATTATTTAAAGATGTTATGCTGATGAAGACTGACATCTAGTGGTCAACTGGAGCAACAACATGGAAAACTTTGAAATCCATGCTCATATTTTGAAGTGAAGATAAGTTTTCTGTACTCCGTGCTTTCGTTTCCCATCACAAATCAAATCCGTCATGTACCTAGAATGCATCGCTTCAGTTTTCTAATAAACTGTTTTAAAATTACTTTATTGATGCTTTTTTCATGAAAAATCTACAATAAACAAAAGAAAAAGACAAAGAAGCAGCCGAACTAGCAATCTTCAACAACTTTTTAATTTTTACACCATGAGCCAAAGGTGAAATTTCAGGTGCCAAACCAAATTTCATGAAATCACCACTGATGAATTGTGCAGTGAGGTGTTCTGTTTTGTGCTTACTTGTAGGACAAGGGATGAAATTTAGCTGCCGTGCTAACTCTTGCATATTTATACTGCCATGTATTGTGGTAATGTTGATTAATGTGTACTGTCGTAATAAATAACCTAATAATAATATCTAACAATAAGTGCATCCCAGCCTGGGCCTGCCACAATGACAAATTTTGCTGGACGATAAATTGTCTCAGAAATTATTATGATGAGAATATTGTTTGAAGACTAATATAATGGAACCCTGCTGAAGCTGTAACATCGCTTCCCACCTCTATCCAAGTCGGCAAAATTTACGCTGTTTGTGTCTTCCACCGGCTTCACAAAATAACTGCGATCAACTACAAGTTACTTACAATTTTTCAGTATGTTTATGAAACTTAGACTAAGTCACGGACGGACTGGGAACAGAGTTTGTGAAAACGATGCACACCAACAGCTACTGAAGCTGTAACAGTGCTACCCACCTCTATTCAAGCCGGTGTTGTACGAAATTCAGTTCCCCTGTGAAAATCTGTTCCCCCTGTGTTGGAAGCCTCCGAAGCGCCTCCCTCATAGGATTGGTCTGACCTTATGCCTGGACCAGTGATTCTCTCTAAGGTTAACCGCTAGGGGGAACAGATTTTCATAGGGGAACTGAATTTTGTACAACACCGGCGCATCTTCTTCTGGCTTCGTAAAATTATTGTGGTCATCGACACGGTGCTTACAAAATTTATGGAAGTTTACCAAATTTATAGCCTGACCATTGCCTTCCTACACAGTTCCGTTTGATTCTAATCCCCCTTCTCTGCTCCGTCTGGGACTTCTCCCATTGACAAGGATTTCACTGGCAGATTTTTAGCCGAGCCAATCAGAGAAGAGAACGTCAATTTTCTGCGCAGTGTCTGCTTGTAGTTTATTTTACCTGGGCCAATTAGCAAACCGAAGGAGAAGTTTTGAACGAAGACGTTGATTTTCTGTGCTGTTTTAGTCTGCCTGTAGTTTATGGCAACGGAGGAAGTGAATGAAGCCATGCAGTCCTTGCTGACAAGGCTTCCAAATTAAATTATAGTTGTCTCACAAAGCCTGCAGCTCTCATTTACAGCCATCTCGTTCGGCTCAGTACTTCTCTCTTCTCAGTAGGGGATGGTTGTTTACAGCACACGCGATTTCCAGTTAGCTTCTTAGCTTAGCTTCATTCAAAGTTGAGTTGACGCACTGCATAAGTCACAACCAAACATTAGTAATTCAACAGAGTCCACGCTTTCAGCAAGAAACCTTTTCTCAATAGCTGAAAGTCCAGACTCTCTGTACAAAGCAAAGCCCAGAACAAGGGGCTGTTTTTTACCAGGCTACCACATTTACGTAATCTTAAAAAAAATTTAAAAAATGGCGGCTCCAAGGTTTAGCACAGTGCCCTGAGGGCGTCCTGATGCATCGCCAGCTGAAAGATGGCGTTGGAAACCAAAGACGCTCCTCTAGCTAAATGCCTGTTCACGAGGCTCTCATGTTGGAGAGGTTAGAGACCATGAACCTGGAAAATACCTGACGTCAGAGTTCACTACTCCCTACACTCAGGACTGGAAAGGAGGGAGACACAAAGAAAACAAACAAGCAGACAAATGAAAACTATCAAACTCATTTTAATTTATTGCTTATTGCGACAGACCTGTCCCAGACTTGGTAATGATCAACCAACCAAATGCCACTAACCCCGCCCCCTGACTTATTCGATGAGGTAAACCCTGGCTACGTTCACACTGCAGGTCTTAATGCTCAGTTCCGATTTTTTGAAAAAATCCGATCTTTTTGTGTGAACGTTCACATTACATTTTAAATGTGA